TATGGATTATGATGCATAGTTTTTAACTTTGACATGAAGATGATAGCAATATATTTGGTAAAAGAGAATTTGAGACATTATGATGTTTGTGGGGATTATGAAGAATCAATTGTTATATGATAATTGGTATATTAGAAAGAATAATATTCGTAATTGAAGACAACTTTAATAATTAGAGATTTATGTTTGAATTTACATGGTGTAAATTTATGGATATGATCTATTGCATTGATGTCATATGTATTCTAGTGGTTAATTGATAGAAAATTTTATGTTGTCGGTGGAAAAAAGAAATTAAAGTATTATGTGATATCTTTTTGGTGACAAAATGATTTGCTGATATTGTTATTCAAGGTTGTTATGGTTATGAACACATGGTGTGAAGCATATTACAAGGAATTTTGTGGACACATGCTTTTCTTGTTACAAAACGATGTTATGAAAGTTAATTTATTTGAATTGTATTGGAAAAAAATATCAGAGTGCGTAGTGGAAGCCTGAATTGATTTTAAGTTCTAAATTGTTGTGCTATTATTAGTTGAGAAAGTGATGAATCTTTAATAAATAAAGACTAATGGATTTTGGACAAGAATATTTTGTGTTGCCTTCATTTTTGAGGCTTTATTGTTGATTGTCATTCTTTTAAGAAATTCTTATGTCATGACTTGAAAAGAAATATTTTATAACGATAGTCATAAGATAAACATTCAATGATTCATTATTTTGAGGTTTTGTATGGAAGCAAATCTAAGTTTTAGACTTATTGGCATAAGGACAAAGAAGAAAAATTTTTATTTCTTAAATTTATGGAGCAAATGGCTAATAAATTTTTGTTGATTAAGTAATGGTTTAAAGTAAACCCAAGAATTATACCAGAATTTTGAGATATGATCTATTGTTTCAAGTGGTTAATCAATTGTACTCATTACGAGGATTATAAAGTAAGAAGGTTAAGTTTGCATTGTAAAGACATTTCAAGTTCTAGGAAAAGTGAAAAGGTTCAAAATAAAGAACATTGTCACCTTTGATGTTTAGTGTATATGATGAATCTATGTTAAGAGAATATCTTAGTAGACACTATGCGATTGGATATGAGTATTTAGAAATTCAAGATGATGAGTTTTAACATATTGAAATTTTTTTTTTCAAATGGTTGATTAGAAAAAATAAGTTTTGAGGCAAGATGATTATTTTTTTTAAAGTTCAATGAAACAATCATACGGTAAGAGATATGATTGCAAAACTAGATGAATGAGATGTGGATGTAAATCGAGTTTCGAGGACGAAACTTCTTATAAGGAGGGGGGAACGTAATACCCAGCCCAAATAATAAGTAGGCTAGACTAATGCTAAAGCCCATCAGTTTATTAAGACATTATTTAGTAAAAGAAAAAAGGTTGAAGTATTAGATGAAAGAAAACCTAATTATCGTGAAACAGAAAGAAAATAGAGTTCTTCTTCTTCATCTTCCTTAGGGTTAGAGAATATGAAAAATCAAGTTGGAGATTCACAATCAGAGGCTACAATCAAGTTAATCCCTTAAAGGTAAGTACATGCCCTCTTTTTATTTGAAAAGAAATATCAAGTTGATTGCTATTATTTGGAGTTGAAGTTTTGAGAGAAAAACCAAGAAAAATCATGAAATCCTTCATTAATCTTGATGATCTATTTGGGTAAATTACTAGGCTTTGTTTATTTCATGTTCTTAAGATTTATTGATGATTATTGAATGGAGTTTGAAGGCTGAAAGTAAGGATTTGAGTTTTTAAAGATTAAAGAAAAAATTCTATTTTTGGATGAGATGTTGTGATTAGTAATAATGAATTAAAATAGAATTTTGTATTAATGGATAGATTATTGCTGTGATTATTATAATCATTAGAAAGCATGTTGAATCTAGTTTTTAATGAAACAAACGAAAGTCAAATCCAAGTTTTCTATAAAGAGTTGTATAATTTTAACTTAAGGATATGCAGGTTGTAAGACAATAGCATCAGAGTTGAATTACGAAATTCTTCTTAATTTGTATACAAGGATTTACAGATTAAGCCATATATATTTGGAAAGCTTATTGAGTCTACTTTCTAATGAAACAAGCGAAATTGAATTTGGAGTTTCCTGTGAATAAATATATAATTTTTATTAGAAGATATACAGGCTGTTTGGCAGCAGTATATAACGTGGATTTCAAAAATTGTTATAATTAATCTACAAGGAATTACGAGGTGTGCCATAAATGGTTAGAAAGCTTATCAAGTCTAGTTTCTAACGTATTAAAGAGATCATAATTTCGATTTGGATATATTGAGATATGACTATTTTAATGAAAAGAGGTCAGACTGCCAGTATTAATTAGTTAAGTTAATCATTTGTATAACTTAGTTGATTTTTGTATAAATGATCTCAAAAGGGTTGATTAAATTCTGATCTGTTGAAATGATCTTGGATAGGCCATTAATTATTTTGAGGGAAAAACTAAGTGGTGAAATCGAAAAGAGGTAAGTAGAATCTCACACACTTTACTTATTTTTGAATCTTTGTATATATGTATGTTTCTAAAGGAATAAATATTTTATTTCTTTATTTTTGATATATGAAAACAGGATCAAGCATATGATTATTTTGTGCTTTTGCTTTGTAAATGATAGATCATACTTATGAATGAAATGAGAAAATGATTTATGTTTAAAGAATGATTTTATGATAGCTACGTTTTTATATCCTTGGGAAGTGGGATCATCGACACCAGAACTAGTTCTACGACTCTGGCTAACGGGTAATAGTAGTTAGCAAAAACATGATCATACCACCCTGGTAATGGGTAATAGTAGTTACCATAAGCCTTAGCATACGAGTTGATATAGTTAGCAATGTAATGAGGATAAAGATTATTGATCGACCAATGTCACGGTGTTCATATAACAGTGACCGTAGCTAATGATAACCAATATAATTGATGGATATTAATGATGATGATGATTTTGCGATGATTTTTAATGGATTGATTTCCATAGTTTGTATTATTTTGAGGTTTGAATGATAGCATATTTTGCAATGATTTATGAAGTGACATATTTTGACATTGATTTATGTATTTATGAAATATTTGACAAAACGATGATCTTGAAATGTTTTGATATTATGATTTGATGAATGTTTTGAATGATCTATATGATGTGTAAGAAAACGATGCTTGATTTGGTAATGTGTGTGAGCCTATACTTACTGAGCTATGGTTTGCTCATTCCCTTTTTACTTTTTCTTTACAGATGATTAAGTGATAAGTTTAGTTAGTCTTGTGTGAAGTTAGAAGATGAAATGGATAAGATACTTAATTGTCGGAGAATATGTTGGCCAATGAGATTTTAAGAGATAGTTTTATATTTTATATAGTTTGTATTTGGATATATAAAGATGTATCATCAGTTGAATCAAAGATATGAATTTTACTTGACAGATTGTTTTATTGAAGAATTTTAGAATGTTTAAGAAAGAAGGCTCCGTATTACTTTAAAATTTTCTTCAAGGTAATATGATCGTATTACGTCTTGATCTCGGGGCGTGACACTTAACAACTCGAGTCTTGAGTACTGCAGGCTTATAAAGAAACAAAAATAGAAAATACCACCAGAAACCAATCTATTCTTCCCTTAAATGGATCATAATTTAGATGGTTGCACCTTATTCTTTACAACAACTGCTGCAAATAAGCATAAAGTTTCAGAATCCTAGATGTACCCTACCTTGTGGCAAGCATATATTTGCAAGTAATCCTGTGCAAGGTAGATAATCCTCATAATTATCAAACAACGTGGCAACTCCACTTTCTATGAAATTTCAATTGATTTGATCAAGTCCTTGACCCCCATTCAACTTTTTCAGGAACTTAAAAAGCTATGAATCGACCGTCAGGTCACCAGTAACAGCTATCTCTGTTTGTCATAGGACAGCATTAATTGAAAATGTATTAATGAGTCATGACCCCTTGCAAAACATAAGTTAGGGTTTTTTTTTTTTCTTTCAAAAAGCCATTGGTCAGAATGGTGCTTGGGCATGGGACCTAGCTCACTACTAAATGACTAATGAACAATTTAATTTCAAAGTAACGTGGGAAAACAATCTTACATTGAAAGGTAAACATTGGGACCACAAGTGCTTAAATATGAAAGGGTGGTAGGTAGTCCTCTACAAATGGGTTAAAATGAGACAAAATGAGCTGTATCATTGATATGGTTCTTCCAAGATGATAGAGATCGATTCAAGCCAGAAATAATGTACCCTCCAAGCTTCATTGCAGGCAGTTCAAATTGTCATAAGGATAATTGAAACTCGGCCATGTAAATTTTGCTTAAGCATTGCCATTTCCAACTTCCACTACAAGATTACTGGATTCCAATAGCTGCACAGCTGAATTTTGGGCAGTCCTTGGTCTATTGGATGACTAATCAAAAGAAGGATTTTGCTAAGGAGTTTGAGCGCCCTTAAGCTATTTTTTAATGTTTCTATATATAAATAATCCCTTCTGGAAATTAACAAACACAAATTTCTCCACTTTTATACCATGGCCTATTTCAGTAAGACTATTTTGGCATTGAACAAAGATGCCATGCAAGGCTTTCACATTATTACAAATGATTTTCAGCAATAGTGAATGAGTTATTATTAGCTGTTTGTTTGCAATTCAATCACTGATAAGAATTGATTCAGAAAACTTTACTGCCTGTTTCAGATAATGGGGTTGCACATGTACTTCGTGATGCAAACCAATTGGATCAAAATTTCATCCTTAAACATTTCTCTGCCAGAATAATTAACTCAAGAATCATTGTTGCATAGTTTATTTTGTAATTATGCTTTATGCACAGAATGTTGTGATTGTCATATAAAACCGTGAATCTTGAACTGACAAATTCATTTAATCAATCAATAAGATGAATTATGAACTTTTTACATTCAGCTTCCAAATCAATCAAATATCCAATTATTTTCAGTTGGCAATTTCTTCTTGGTGTTCTGAAAACATCTCATTTTGGTTATGAAAGGAAAAAATAACTAAACAAGTTCAAAGTTTCATCGAGCATTTACAACTGAGATTGTTAGTTTATTTTCAGAGAAAATCTCTGGCTGACTCTGACTTGAATTGTGGATTGAGTCTACCATACTTCTGACATTTGAGAAAGCTGGTTGCTTTGGAGAAGGTAAGAAGGTAAGTTCATTGCTCAGCATCAAGACAACATCAGGCATGGTTGGTCTGTCCGCTGCACGTTCTTGAACACAAAGAAGTGCAATTTTAATGTACCTAATTGCTGCATTGGCAGAAGAAACATCTTTCATTGCAGGATCCATCAACTCCAGAGGCCTTCCGCTTGTCCAAATATCCCATGCCTGAAAGGTAATATAACACAAAATAAAAGAAAGACAATGTTTTATCTCTTGGTTACTACCAGGAGATCAGTAATGATAGAAATCTAGCGGGGTTATATATAGACTTGAAAAAGACGTCAATTTTGGTCTGAAAGTTTTAGAACTATCCTTAAATAGATTGTAAGAAATGGTAAAACGGAAAATGATTCTCTGCATAAATTTATGTCACTCACATATCCAAGAAGATCGAGAGAATTGCTCTGATAGAAACCAGTGTTCCTCCTGCCACTTAAAATCTCTAACAACAAAACACCGAAGCTGAAGACATCTGATTTGACAGAGAAGACACCTTCCAAAGCATACTCAGGAGCCATGTAGCCACTGTATTTAATAATAAATTAAAATATTTACTAGCTTCATAACTAGGAATAGATGCAGTGCAGATTTCATCATTTTAACATGGCAATCAGGAAATGAAACCTAAACTTCCAGGTGCAGAAATACCTAGCGTAGGCACCATCAAAAAGAACATGGATAAAACTACAGCAACAACACAGCAAATGCAGATGGCCTTATGACCTTATGCGTACTGATGTTCTGTATAAGAGAATTCATATACATGCTGACCACTTACTAAGTCCCAACAATTCGATTAGTAGCTTGTGGTTCACTGCCTCCAAAAATTCTTGCCATCCCAAAGTCTGAAATTTTGGGGTTCATGTCTTCATCTAACAAAATGTTGCTGGCCTTCAAATCCCTGTGAATAATTTGTAGCCTGGAATACTGATGCAGATAAAGAAGACCTTGAGCAATCCCTTCAATGATTCCAACTCGAGTTCCCCAAGGTAGTGTCAACATTTTTTTGGTTCCTTCATGGATTTAAAACAGACAAAATAAACAATTAATGAAACTTAAACTATTCCTGAAAATTACATTTAAGTGACAAACATGAGAAGTTTATGTTTGTGCTGAAATGACAAGAAGTTACCAAAGAGGAAAATGTCTAAGCTCTTATTTGGCAAATATTCATAGACAAGAATCTTTTCATCTCCTTCAATGCAGCAACCAAGAAGTTTCACAAGATTCTTGTGTTGTAGTTGGGCCATGAGCGTTGCCTCATTTTTTAACTCATCCAAACCTTGTCCAGATTTTCTTGAGAGCCTTTTTACAGCTACTTCATTCCCTTTTAGTAATGTTCCCTGAAACAGAAAATCCTTTGAGTTTCTCACAGAAATGTAATAGATGTAGCTTTTATAACAAGAAAACTTTTGCACTACTTGCAAAGGACATAGTTTTCTTTAATAAAAGTTTATATTATTTGAATTTTCTTGATAACAATTATGGCACCGAATCTCTCAATTTTACCTTGTATACAGGTCCAAAACCGCCCTCTCCAAGTTTATTTGAGAAGGAGAAGTTATTGGTAGCAGCAGACACGCTAGAAAAGCTGAATATTGGAATCTCCACTTCCTTCTTAAGTTTCCGTTGTCGTTTTACCTTCAATTGTTCATGTTTGGTAGGCGCTGGGCTAATACTAAGTTCAAATGATAACAAGTCCTCACCTGCTTGGTGACGAGTTGAGGAAGCATGAGTGCATACATAATGATATTTGGATTTCAGTGCATAGGCAGTGAAAGGTTCATGCACTTAAAACCAAATAATGAAATTCCAACAATCTATTGCGCTATTATTTGAAAAACCACAAATAAATTTGATCCACTGTTAGATAAACAAGCAAACTGCAGATCCTTATTGTTAGCGCTGGGGCAATGGAAAGATCATTTTCGTGTGAGTTTTGTGTAATGACTCAAAACAATTCAAGCTAGCACTTTTAGATGATGAATTTGTAGCATTTTAACAGGTATTTCAATGGTAAATTCAAATTTGACCAATTAATGCAAAAGCAATTCAAGAAAGCACTTTTGATTGACAAGGCCACAAAATCATGCTCAGTTGCTTGTATGTTACTGGAGAGAAACTTTTACCTTTTCTTTTGTTCTTTTTCATCTTCACTTGCCAAATGAGCAGGGCTAAAGAAAGAATTGTCACAGAAACGGTCACCGATATAATAATTGATTGCTTTATCTTATTCCCTGTGCGTTCTGCATATGTCCCAGAAACATATAAGTTAATTAGATTATATCTACCGGTGTACGCACCTAACAGAAACTACTAAGAAAAAATCATGGTTAAGAGGGAAAGAGCATATGAAAAGTTCATGTCAAAGCAGAAAAATTTAGAGAGATTACTACTATTATTCTTACTTCCAGTTTCCAAATCTGCTGCCGCTAGTTTGAGGAAAAAATCTGTTCCAGAAATGTCATCAGCTGAGCGTTGCTGCACGTTAATAAGATTACCGATCCAGATGGAGCAATTTTGATTGATATACGAAAAACCGGTACAGGAACAGTTACTCAAGCAGGATGACCTGCACTCACCAATACTCTGAACCTCTAGAATCAGCTGTTCCTTTGGTACTACTATGTTAGACAGCTTAAGAAATCCATCTCCTGCACCCTTGATATTAGTGTTGTTGCCACATTGCAAATCAGTTTTCCTTGAGCACCCATCCCTATGAACTCCATCCTTCCAAGACTCGGGTAATCTAGGTTTAAATCCAGGTAAACAGCTACAATATGGTGATAAATCATTGGTGCAGCTTGCATCGGCACCACAATAAGCATAAACGTCGCACGGTTGTCTAGGTTGGGAGTTGAACAGATCCCACTTATTTTCTAACCATACATATTGTCTTAACTGTCCCGTTGCATCAATCATAAATCTACTAATCATGTCTTTCCTATAGAGGTCGTAAGTGAGATAAGTGATGTCAAATTCAGAAACAAAGTTAAAGTTGTACATGTTCAATCTCATTTCTGGAAGGAATTCAAATACGTTGACTTTGTCTCCCCAAGACCTAAATGATCTCCAGTATATTTCATCCCCATTCAAGATCAGAATCCGATTTTCTCGTCCAGTATCCAATTCCAAGGTGAAATTTCCAGGACTAGGGTCATTATCACTTTTCCAAGAGACATATGACCAAGAATTTCCATTCCCTCTATCATATCCAAGTTTCATCCCAGGCAAGAAAGTATCTGAAGGGAAGTCAAAGCTCTGCCATAAGATATTAGATTTTTCATCTCTCAAAACAAAATTTCCTGTATCCAACAATGTAGCACTCACATTTGCACTAGATGCTGTCACCACATTTGCATTAGATGATATGTCTGTCACCATGTAAATTATCTTACCTTGCCTAATTACCAGGTTGCCATCAACACCAATACAGAGAACTGCAGAAGCAGTGAGCGGATAATCTCGGTTTGCTAACCAAACAACTGTTTTTTCCGAGATATTCTTGTACCATATTGCCACATAGTATTTCATTGAAATGGTAGGGGCAAAAAATCCTAATTCAAACATTTGACCAGATGATACTATTGTTTCTGAGCTATTGAGGTGTTGCCCAGGTGAGATTGTGTCTATTACAGCATTGGGGTATTTCAAGATGTGGCATGAGAACATCAGCAGGAGAACGGGATAAGAAAATCTTGAAATCATTTTGTTACCCATAAGTAATCCAAATGCAACGACCAAAGCTGGATCTATTTTCATATTGGAGAAATTATGAGATATGATTCCTGTTTGTTCCTAACTAATTTCTTTGAACTTTTAGCTCAAGCAATACGTATCATTGCATCAAAGTCTGCTTTACCTAATGGTTCTGAGTTTGAACCATGTCAACTCAATATTTTGCTTTAGATGAAGATGCAATATCAAAACCCCACATGCATGCAAATGAAGAATCTTCAACTTCAACCAGAATCTCAACTTATTTGTTTAAACCCTTTCCCCTAACATTTAGCTATCATGGTATGTGCTTGACTAAGGGTCAGAGTTTGAATCCTTTCACCACAAAATTCTGCTTTAAATAAAAATGAATATTCAACTTTGATCTATTCTGCTATATGCGCCCTTAAGATTGTCCTGAAAGAGGATTAGGCAAAAGTCTGAGATACCATTATAAAAAAAAAATATGTTGAATGCTAAGAAACAACTGGAAAAGACAAATACCTGTAGCCGAAACCATACTCATATTTGCCAAAGCAGAAGATGAAATCAGTATTGTGGCCTGTTCGTTGTATAAATGTCTATAAAAGATAGCATCCTCTTATCAGATGCTATTCCAAGGCCACGGGAGATTCGTTAAGAGTTGAAAAAATTACTTGCTTTGAAAATTCTTCTAACAAGAGATAATTAGATTGAAAATTGGCAAATTATACTAATAACAAGAATACTAGTCTTGGTCAAAGCATTCTAAAGAAACTTCTATAAAAATATCAATAGTCCACAATGTTTTTTTCAGACCAAAACAAGTAAAATCAATATTATTGATATGAACAATACAGAGTCATGCAACATCATTACGGGGTTTAGCATTAAGAAAAAAAGAGAAAGTCCATGGTGTTGACAAATGAATTTGCGTGTAGCTATATTTTCTACATTCATAGCTAGTTCATTTCTTTTGTTTCTTTCTCATGGCTTGACTTTTTGATAGGTACTTGACTGATTAATATATCAATGCCAGATGAGAAAAGTAAAGGTTTACTATAGTCTAAAATCATGATTTTAGATGAAGAAGCAATTGATTTTTCCCGTCATGATTTTTTAATTACAGAATGATGTGTTCGCCATAAATAATAGGTTTCGAACTGATATATTAAACTAATATAAGCACTAACTAAAAAGAATTAGGAACTTCTAGTTGATCATCATTGTTTTTACTATACATGAATCTAGGCATTCTTTGTTCTTAATTAGCCATATTTTTATTCATTGTGTCAAAGACAAAATTTACGATTAAGCTTCTAGCATGCTTATAGAAGCAGCAGGATAGCTAATAATAAGCTTAATTGGTCAAAACATAATAAGCTTAACTTTTACAAATATATTTGTAGAGACCTGCACTTAATTTGGGGTGTTGTCCCATTTCGACCAAAAGTCCCATAATTTTATCTCGATACCTCTAATATCTCAGCCCAAATGATAATTGGGTTAAATTATTACCAAAATTCATTAGTTTATTAAGAGATTAATTATTAAAGATGTGGAGACCTGCACCCAACCTGTGAGGTATTGTCCGCTTTGACTCGAAGATTTCATGATTTTATTCCATAAAAGGTACCTTACAAGTTTGGGTTTAGATCTCTACATATATATCATTCCTTATCCACCAAGATCACACAGACCACCGTGTAGCACTTAGTCACTCTTACTGTCGCTGATCGGTGACTGCTTTGATACTATTTGTGAAGACCCATACCCAACCTATAAGGTATTGTCCGTTTTAACCTGGTTTTCATAGTTTCGTCCCATAAAAGGTGCCTCACAAGTTTGAGTTTAGATATCTACATATATATTATTTCTTATCCACACATTTTTCAATGCGAGATTGGGAGCGTTACAAAAGAAAAGTAGCAAAAGCATTTTAAAAAAGAAAACATAGTTATCAGAAAACAGATAAGAAAAGTAAAGCTCTTCTTCTTTATCTTAGAGTTAGAGAGCACAAAAAATCAAGCTGAGATCTAAAATCGAATACTATAATTAAGTTAATCTTTTAAAGGGTGAGTATATGCTAGCTTTTTATCTAAGAAAAATATCATGTTGGTTGCTATTATTTGGAGTTGAAACTTATGAGAGAATAATCAAGAAAAATTATGAAATCTTTTATTAATCTTCATGATCTATTTTGGTAAATTATTAAGCTTTGTTTACTTCATACTATTAAGATTTAATGATAATTATTGAGTAGATTTTGAAGGCTGAAAGTAGTAATTTGAGTTTTTTAAAGATTAAAGGTGAAAGTTGATTCTGAATTTTTCATGAAGAATTGTTTAATTTTTACTTAATGATATGCAAATCGCATGGCAGTAGCATTAGTGATGAATTACGAAAATTGTCTTAAATTTTATAAAAGGAATTACAAATTAAGCTATATATGTTTGAAAAGCTTATTAAGTCTATTTTCCAATAAAAGAAGTAGAATGGAATTTTGAGTTTCTTATAAATTAATATGTAATTTTTATTAGAAGGTATATATGCTGTCTGACAGTAGCATATGACCTGGATTTCAAAATTTATTACAATTGATATACAAGGAATTAAGAGGTGGGCCATATATGGTTAAAAAGCTTATTAAGTCTAGTTTTTAACACATTAAAAATATCTTAATCCTGAATTGGATATCTTGAGATATGTTTGTTTTAGTAAAAGAAGCTTAGGCTATCAATATTAATTAGTTGAATTAATCATTGTGTAACTTAGTTATTTTTTGCATAAATGATCTCAAAATAGGTTGATTAATTTCTATTATATTGAAATAATCTTGAATAGGCCATTAATTATTAGGGGAACTAAGTTGTGGAATCAAAAAGAGGTAAGTTAAATCTCATACACTTTACTTGTTTTTGAATCTATGTATATATATATGTTTATAAATGAATAAATATTTTATTTTTTATTTTCAACGTATGGAAATAGGATCAAACATATGGTTATTTTGTGTTTCTCTAATAGATGATGGATTATGTTTATGAATAAAATGAGAAATTAAATTATGTTTAAATAATAATTTTATAATAACTACATATTTACATCACTAAAAAGTTGATGTATTGACACAAGAACTAATTTTATGGCTCTGGCTAACGAGTTATAGTAGTTATGTGATACCCGTAAAAAAAAAAACGATTATAAGTATTTTTATAAGTGGGAAGACTCTTTAATAAGGAATGAGAAATGCAGAGGACTTATTGATAAATAACCCAATTCTTATTAATAGGGTTAACTTTTCAGTTTTCAGTCGGTGATTAATCGAAAGAAAAATAGAAATTTATTTCTCATATGTTTCATATACAGAAAAGATCAATTGAAGGATTCCAAGTGAAGGAAAAGAACAAATCTACAAGGAAAAATTGTTTATTAGAGGTGAGTAAATAATCTCTTTCAATTTTGGAGTATTGATGGTTAAGTCTTAATGTGTAATTTATAATCGAAAAACCTTAAAATTTTAGGGTTTCCATTATCCCTCTTTGGGCAGATGATTTAGACTTTAATTAGGGTCAATTAAGTGTTGAGAAAGTTGGTAATGTGAATTTATTACTGAAACAGAAATTTGATTGGAATAGAAAGGAAAATCTTTATTTCGTATAAATCTTGATATGAATCTTGTATTTGTAATGATGAATTAAGGTTATATTCTGTATTAAAGGGTTAAATACTACTACGATTATTGCATATGGTTGGAAAGCATGTTGAATCTACTTTCTAATGAAACAAACGAGAGTTGAATTCGAGTTCTCTCTGAAGAGTTATCCAATTTTTACCTAAGGATGTGTAGGCTGCCTAGTAGCAGCAATAAGGAGGAATTACGAAATTTTCCTTAATTTTTATACAAGGATTTACAGATTAAGCCATATATGTTTGAAAAGCTTATTGAGTTTACTTTCCAATGAAATAAGCAGAATTGAATTTGGAGTTACCTATGAATAAATAAGTAATTTTTATGAAAAGGTATACAGGCTGTCTGGCAGCAGCATATGACGTGGATTGCAAAATTTGTTATAACTAATCCACAAGGAATCACGAGATGGACCATATATGGTTAGAAAGCTTGTCAAGTCTAGTTTCTAACGCATTAAAAATTTTTAATTCCAAATTGGATATCTTGAGTTATGGTCATTTTAGTGAAAGTAGCGCAGAGTGCCAGAATTAATTACTCGAGTTATTACTTGTTTAACTTAATTGTTTTGGCATAAGTGGCCTCAAATGGGTTGATTAATATTGTTATGTTGGAATTATCTTGAATAGACCACTAAATTTTGAGGGAGAAAAATTAGGTGGTGGAATCAGAAGAAGGTAAGTAAAATCTTACATACTTTGCTTGTTTTCGAAACTATGTATATATGTATGTTTCTAATTGAATAAATATTTTATTTCATTATTTTCGATGTATGAAAATAGGATCAAGCATATAATTATTTTGTGTTTCTCTATACTAATGATGGATCATGCTTATGAATGAAATGAGAAAATGATTTATGATTAAAGAATGATTTTGTAATTGCTACATTTTTACATCCCTGGGAAGTGGGATCATCGACACCAGAACTAGTTCACGACCTTGGCTAACGGGTAATAGTAGTTAGCAAAGGCATGATCATATGACCCTGTTAACGGGTAATAGTAGTTAGCATAAGGCCCTGACTAACGGGTTATAATAGTTAGCAATGATTATGAGAATGAAATTATTGATACGGTCCATGTCACGGGTTATAGCAGTGACCGTAACTAACGATAAACGATTGTTAATGATGATTTATGATTATGATGACTTATGATGATTTTAATAATTGATCCATGATTTGGTTTGATTACGATATTTGAATAGTAACATATTTTACAATGATTTATGAATTTACGAAATGTTTGACAGAACGATGATATTAAGATGTTTTGACATTATGATTTGATGAATGTTTTGAATGATCTATATGACATGTATGAAATGATGTTTGATCCGGTAAGGTGTGTGAGCCTTTACTTACTGAGCTGTGGTTGGCTCATTCTCTATTTTTTTTCTTTTTACAGATATTATGAATGATAAGTATGATTAGCTTGAGAAAAGCTAGAAGAATCAAGCATTGGAGAACTACTTAAAAATATGAGATTTTATGAAATATTGTTTATTTTAGTTGTAATGCTCGACTTTGAACCTTTGGAGACTTGTTATTTAGCTATGTTACTTAATGAGAACCTTTTATATTTGAGAGTTGTTCAATGGTTATGGATTAGGCTTCGTATTGCTTTGGAGTTTTACTTTAAGGTAATATGGCCGTGTTATGCCTCGATTCGAGACGTGACATAAAGTGGTATCAGAGCGAAGGTTTAAGATCCAGGAAAGGAAAGAATTGAGTTATAGTTAGTGTAGAACTTAAGTATTCTTAGCATTTACACTGATAAGATTTGATTATTTTATTTTGATCGCTTATGAACTATTTTTGTTGGTATTAAATTAGGTAAGAATGAGTGGTAAAAATAAGACATTGGCAGACCTTGTGGGTCGAAGGAAAAAAATTGACAAGAGAAGGGATGAATTTGAAACCACCATTACTCGAGATGAGCAAATTGATATTGAAAATGCTCTTAATGCTCAAGTGACACGGGATGATTTAGTTGGAGTGTGTCAGGTGGTGTCTAATTTGATACAACAACGACAGTAAACACAAGAGAATCTGCAACAATGTGAGACAACTTATGAACGATTTCGAAAGGTCAACCCACCTCAGTTTGAAAGCGGCCCTGATCCTTTAGTTGCAGAAGCTTGGGTTAAAGAGTTAGAAAAACTCTTTAAGGCAATGCATATCTCTGAAGATTTGAAATTGAGCTTGGCTATCATTCAACTAAGAGGAAATGCTGAGTACTGGTGGGATACCATAAATCTCACATTTGAAGATTCAGGTAAGCCTCTGACTTGGAAAAAGTTTAAAGAGATTTTCTTTGATCAATATTTTCTAGAATCAGTGAAAGTAGAGAAGGAGAATGAATTTTGCAATTATAGCAAAAGCATGATATGTTTGTGCTGGAGTATGCTAACAAGTTTAATGAGTTGGGACGTTTCTGTACTCACATCATTGACTCAGATAAGAATAAGACAATACAATTCGAGCATGGGTTGAAGCCAAGTATTCGATCTTGTTTGTCTTCTCACATAATTGATAGTATAAAGATGTGTTACAGTGAGCACTGAAGATTGAGTCAGACATGAAAAGATATGAACAAGAGAGGGGTGATAAGAAACACTCGAGGTTTGAGAGAGATCAGAGTAAATGCTAAAAGAATGTTAAAGGAAACATAGGTAAGAAGTGAGAGATGAAATCTGGTATTAAGCTCGAGAAATATGATTTTTGTGAGCGATTTCATTCTGGACCATGTTTTAGGAAAGTAGAAATTTGCTTTGAACATGGAAAATATAGGCATATTGCTTGAAATTGCCTAAACAAGAAGAATGATGCTATTAAAGCTAAACCAATAGAACAACCATAAAAGGGAAATGCTTGAGTTTTCACTTTGACCCACCAAGATGCTAATGCAAATGATAATGTAGTGACAAGTATTGTTTCTATTAATCATGTCCATGCTAATGTTTTATTAGATTTCAGTGCCTCTCATAGCTTTGTTTCTGTCAAGTTTGCTACATCTTTGAGTATTGAACCTGAGAAATTGAATGAGCTTTTATATGTTGCTACTTCTATGGGAAAAATTATGTGTGTTGATATTATTTATAAGAATTATGTTGTACATATAAGGGGTTGTGAACTACTAGCAGACTTGGTACAATTAAAGATGCTAGAATTTGATGTGATCTTAGGGATGAATTGGCTATCTATAAATCATGCAGTTATTGATTGCTATAGAAAGAGAGTAGTGTTTCAGTGTCCAGGACAATCAGAACTTATATATGAAGGTCACCATTTAAGCCTTCCGTGTTAGATTGTGTCGATCTCAAGTGCCATGCAATCTCTAAAGAAAGGGTGTCTAGGCTACCTCGCCTATGGGAAAGACACTCAAATGAATGTAGGCTCACGATTAGAAGATATTTCGATTGTTAGAGATTTTCTCGATGTCTTTCCTGAGGACTTGCCTGGCTTACCTCCTAATCGAGAAATTAAATTTGAAATCGATCTTATCCCTAGAACTGGACCAATATCTAAGCCTCCTTATCGCATGGCTCCATCTGAGTTACGTGAATTAAAGGTGCTACTCCAAGAACTATTAGAAAAAAAGTTCATTCGTCCTAGTGTGTCACCTTGGAGAGTTCCTGTATTGTTTGTTAAAAAGAAAGATGGGAGTCTGCGCTTATGCATTGATTATAAGGAGTTAAATATAGTGACTGTGAAGAACAAATATCCTCTTTCTCGAATTGATTATTTGTTTGATCAGTTACAAGGAGCAAAGGTTTTTTCAAAGATTGATTTACGGTCTGGATATCATCAGTTGAAGATTAAGGCAGGTGATGTATCCAAGACTACTTTTTAAACTAGGTATGGCCATTATGAATTTTTGGTTATGCCTTTTGGATTAGCAAATGCAGCTGCTGCATTCATGGACTTGATGAATAGAATTTTTCAATAGTATCTGGATCAATTTGTTGTTGTTTTTATTGATGACATTCTAGTTTATTCTAAGAGTGATGGGGAACATGAGAAACATTTGAGGATTGTGTTACAGATTTTGCGGGATAAACAATTCTTTGCAAAGTTTAGCAAATGTGAATTTTGGTTGACAAGTGTTAGTTTTCTTGGTCATGTTATTTCTAAAGATGAGATTTCAGTTGATCCAAAAAAGATTGAGGCAGTGGTGAATTGGCCTTGCTCGACAAATGTGACAGAAGTAAGAAGTTTTATTGGCTTGACAGGTTATTATAGAAGATTTGTTGAGGGGTTTTCTCAAATTGCTGTGCCATCGATTCGTTTAACTCAAAAGCGAGCAAAATTTGAATGGACTAAAGAATGTGAACAGAGTTTTCAAGAGCTAAAGCAACAATTGGTGTCAGCACCTATCCTTACCTTACCTTCTGATATTGGTAGTTTTACCATTTATAGTGATGCTTCCAAGAAGGGGTTAGGTTGTGTGTTAATGCAGAATGATGGGGTAATTGCTTATGCTTCTAGGTAATTAAAAACCTACAAGCAGAATTATCTGACTCATGACTTAAAGTTACGTGCCATTATGTTTGCTTTGAAAATATTGAGACATTATTTGTATGAGGAGCCTTGTGCAATTTATACGGACCATAAGAGTTTAAAGTATTTGTTCAGGTAGAAAGAGTTGAACATGAGATAGAGAAGATGGTTGAAATTAATCAAAGATTATGATTTGACCATCAATTATCACCCGGGCAAAGCCAATGTAATTGCTGATGCTCTTAGTAGAAAGTCTATTGGAAGTATGGCTGCTTTGCTTACTTTGCAACCAAAATTGTTGGAGAAACTTGATATGCAGCAAATCGAGATGATTATACAAGGAAAAGGTGTTGTTATGGCTAGTTTGGTGGTTCAACCAACTTTGATCGAAAAGATAAAATTTGCACAAAAAAAAGATAGTGAGTTAGACAAAATTAAGACATAAGTGCAGAACGGTTTGCGGTCAGAGTTTAATCTTCACGAGGATGGCACATTACGTTTTAGAAAAGATTGTGTGTACCAAATGATCTTGATCTAAAACGAGAGATCTTGGAGGAAGCACATAAATCTCGATTCACTATACACCCTGGAGGCACTAAGATGTATAAAGATTTGAAAAGAAGTTTTTGGTGGAATAATATGAAATGTGACATAGATCAGTTTGTGTCCCAATGTCTAGTGTGTCAACAAGTTAAGGCTAAAGATCAAAGAGACCTGGTGTTGAAACATTGGTGCACATTGCATTGGCCCCACAGTAAGCATAAACGTTACACAGTTGTCTAGGTTGGGAGTTGAACGGATGCCACTCATTTTCTATCCATAAAAATTGTTTGAACTGTCCCGATGGCTCAATTGTAAATCTGCTGATGATGTCTTTCCTATAGAGATCGTAAGTGAGATAAGTCATGTCAAATTCAGAAACAAACCTAAAGTTGTACAGGTGCAATCTCATTTCCGGTGTGAAATCAAATATGTTGGTATCATCTTCCAAAGGCCTAGATCTCCAGTACATTTCATCACCGTTCAAGATCTTAACCCGCTTTTCTTGGCTGGAATCCATTTTCAAGGTGAAATTTCCATGAGTAGGGTCATTAGCACTTTTCCAAGAGACATATGACCAACATTTTCCATTCCGTTTATCATATCCAAGTTTCATCCCAGGCAAGAAAGTGTGCGTAGGGAAATCGAAGCTCTGCCATAAGATATTAGATTTCTCATCTCTCACAACAAGGTTTCCTGAATCCAACAGTGTAGCACTCACATTTCCATTAGATGCTATATCTGTCACCATGTAAATTATCCGATCTTGCCTAATCACTAGGTTCCCATCAACACTAATGCTGAGAACTGCAGAAGCAGTGGAGGGATAATCTCGGTTTGCTAACCAAACAGCTGTTGGTTCCGAGATATTCTTGTACCAAATTGCCACATAGTAATTCATCGAATTGCCAGGGGTAAAAAATCCTAGTTCAAACATTTGACCAGCTGATACTATAGTTTCTGAGGAACTGAGGTTTTGCCCTCGTGAGATTGTGTCCGTTTCAGCATTACTGTATTTCAGGATGTGGCATGAGAACATCAGAAGGAGAACAGGATAAACAAATTGCGTTTTTGAAATCATTTTCTTATCCATAAGTAATCCAAATGAAGTATTGGAGAAATTATGAACTGTCCGCTTGATCCCAAATAATTTCTTTGAACTTTTAGTTAGCTCATACAATTAGCTACCATGGTATCAGAGTCTGCTTTACCTAGTAGTTCTGAGTTTGAACATGTTGCATTAGATACAGATGCAATATCAAATTTCCACAAGCATGTAAATGAAGAACCTTAGACTTCAACAAAAATCCCAGCTTATTTGCTATAACTTTTATCCCTAACAAATTATTTGCTTAAACTACTACCCAAAAATGAATATCCAACTTCAAACTGCACTGTTGTATAAATAAATGACTGCTAAGAAACAAGTGGGGAAAGACAAATACCTGAAGCAGAAGCCGAACTCATATTTGCCAAAGCAGCATATGGAATCAGTATTAGAGCTAGTTTTGTTGTATCCACTGATCAGATACTATTCTAAGTCCATGGAGATTAGTTTGGTATGGAAAAGATGACTCGAAAATTGACAATTTAGACTAACAAGAATACTAGTCTTTTATTGTTTTTGATTGGTCTATTATGAGTGATATTCTAAACAAGAATTATACAAAATATCAACAGTCCACGATATTAACAAATGAATTGCATGTAGCTATATTTTCTATGTCTATGTACAATTCATGATTTACTTTTTTTTTTTTTTTTTGGGTGGGTATATCTTAGCATGAGGTCGAGAGCACAACTTAGCTTATAAGTCTAAAACATGATTGTGACAAACTGGAATTGAATAAATAAAAATTACAATCACATTCAAATAAGAAATTTTCTCAATTACGTATTGAACAAACCGACTTGCTTGAAAATTGATTTTCTGCAATAACTCTATCAAGCAAGAAGTCTACCCCTTATTTGGGTATTAAATTCAATTTAACGCGCAAAATGTTGAAAATGATATGATACAAAACAATGGATTCCACCAACATGAAATTCAAAATAAAAAAGATATTATAAAAGGAATAACTCTAAGAGTATACTATTTTAAGGGTCAGATTATCTATCCAAATTCATATACTTTTTCAAGTTTTGAAAAGGTTTAGACAAAAAATTAAAATTTGTTAAACGAGTTTTGACACAATTTTTAAATTAATTTAAATTTCAAGTTAGGTCTTGAACAAATTATTAAAAACTTGAGCTTGGTTCAACCCAGCTTGAATTTATATATATATATATATAAATTTTTTTATTTTTATATATACGTTAATTATATAAAATTAATTCATATATATGTAAATTAAAATTAAAAATTATATAAATATATAAATATATTATTTTTATTTTTAATTTATATATATATGTGAATTGAATATAATAAGTGAGTTTGACATTTTTTTTTAATTTAGATCAAGTTTAAAAAAATTTTGAGAACCAAAATTTCGAATCTAGATAAGTAAATAAACTATTAATATCAAATATAAGCCTAGTTTAAATCCAGCCGACTTAGTCCATGAATATTTCTATTTAAAAGTGCAAATAATGAATGAGATCTATAATTTTTTACAATTATAATATTAATTGTTTTATAATAATGATTTTCATTAATTAAAATATTAACTAATTTTATTTATTTGCTTATTAATTTTAAAGTCCTTATTAATGTAAACTTTTCTTAATTGATATATTTTTTTTATTAAATTAAATATTAACTAATTTTTTATCCATCTAAGTTTTTACCAATGTAAATTAAAAAAAAGCAAAGTCTTTGTTAGCTTTATCTTGTAGCATATATCATGTGACATACATGCGTGTGCTGGGATTTGGTTCAATTGCTTGCAACCCTGCATTTGAGTTATTTCTCAAGGATATGAAATTGTATAGTCATAGTTATTTAGAAGATTGAATTTCAATTACTTGCATATAGCCTGTACATTTAGGTTTCGCTTATATGGTTTCCCAAGTGAGTAAAATAGAAGCTCTTGCACCGGAAAGGAAGAAGGAATTATATTAGGTAGAAGAATGTTCATATGCTATTAAATTTATGGTTACTAAAGATTGTAATTCAATTTATAATTTATTTGGATGAATAGTAAAATTGATTTTGATAAAATTATTAAAAAAAGTGATTATGTTATTAGTTATTGTAATAATAAAATTAAGTAGTATAACACTAAAATTAATTAAAATTAATAGAATAGTATGTGTTTGAATAATAAAATAACAATAGCAATGGGGTGAAAAGGAAAAATAAAGATATCTTATCTAAAAATATAAAAATCAAAACGTTGGACTAAAAAGATTCAATGTAAATGGTTTTTTTTTTTTTTTATACATATATAGTCTTGAATAAATGTCGTATATTTCACATTTAATTATTTTGATTTGATTTAAATTTTAAAATATTTTATACAATAATTTTTTTATATTTTTAATTAACTTACCTTTGACATAGATGTTAATAAATAAAGAATTAATTTTCTTTCCATAAATTCTTAATTGGATTTGATTATGATAAAATTAACTAAATTTTATTTCTACTAACTTTGTTTTTGTTGAAAGAATATATGACACACTTCATTTTTCCATTTTTCTTATAATTAGTTTTGATTGATAATTAGGTTACTTAAAGTCAATTTCAAAAAAAAAAAAAAATACTTAATGTCATCATTTATTTACTAAATTTTAATTGGCAACATATTGATTTTTATATAAAAAATTTTAGTGTTAGACTAAATTTATTCAATGTTAATATTCTTCAAGAAAATGCACTTTTTTTAATCACGGTCCAAAAAGTTTATTGTGAAATAACTTATACTAATGACTTAAGCATAAAAGTCAAAATAATTACTTGTTCAACTATAAATTTGTTTTATATAAAACTTATTATTATTATTATTATTATTATTCAAGTTAAATGAAAATATATAATAAATGCAAATGTCAAAATTAAAAATTATTTCAATCTTAGATTAAATGCGCTCCTTTTATAGGTTTAAATTAAAACCATCTAAATAAAGACGATAACATAAAACAATCATTTATCAAAACTAATTAAAGAAACTAAATGATCTTCATAATATGGTTTTTTGTTAAAATTTTCTTTTATTTCTTTTAAATTTAATGTAAAAGTCAAGTATACAACGTTAACTTTTTCTAAGTGCAGAATGCAAATGTATAATAAAAATTAGTAGACAAAAAGAGTACAATCTAAACTTCATTTAGTCTCTAAAAACATGGCAAAACTTATCACTTTAGGAAACTTAAATATGTTACCGAGCTTCCAAGACTGAAAATGTTACATCATTTACAGAGCAAACTTCTGACCTGCCCTGTACCAAGTTCTGCTTCACCATACTTCTTACATTTAAGAAAGCTGGTTGTTTAGGAGAAGGTAGGACCAGGCTTTCATTTTTAAGCATCGAGACTACATCAGACATGGTTGGTCTATCATCTGCACTTTCCTGGACGCAAAGTAGCCCTATGTTAACATTTCTCAAAGCCATCTGTGTAGGCACTTCCTCCAGCATTGGATCAATTAGGTCCAATGCCCTGTTGCTTGTCCACAAATTCCATGCCTTAAATCACAGAAAACAACAATAATAATGTGTCAAGAGAACAGGCTGTAATTTCTTTGAGCAAATCATGGCTGCAAGAACACTAAACTTCTTGGTCTTGGACTCGGTAGTGAGTGTTGGATACAGTAGCGTTTGACATATGTACGTGCAATTGCTTTTCAAGTTTTTTCTTATATTTTGAGGGTTTGTGAAAAACTGCATTCAACCTGAGGTATTATCTGTTTTGACCCAAAGGTCTGGACCTCCATAGTCATTTCCATCGGATTGTATGGGACATGGGTAATTCAAGAAAAGTGAAAGGTTGGATTAACATAGGTCACTCTCATAATGCAACTCAATTTCTCGAACCATTAATTAGAAAACTTTGAACCCTGAATTGAATTGCAGAAAAATTTGAATTCAACGCGTAGAACTGTTAATTGCAATTTAGAAACTCACGTAGGCAAGAAGATGGAGAGAATTAGACTGATAAAAACCAGTATTCTTCTTCCCACTTACAATCTCCAGTAGCAAGACTCCAAAGCTGAAAACATCCGATTTCACTGAAAGGAGGCCTTCCAAAGCATATTCAGGGGACATGTAACCACTGAAAGTGAATGTTAATTCAAAAGTTGTCAATAAAAGTATAGCTTAAATCAAAATGGATTTTGATTACATACACGGAGTTCATATAATATGGGGTTCCCGTTTTTTTTTTTTTTTACTTACTAAGTCCCAACAATGCGATTCGTATTTGCTTGTAATTCCTCCCCTCTGAAAATTCTTGCCATACCAAAATCTGAAATCTTGGGATTCATGTTGCTATCCAACAGAATGTTACTGGCCTTCAAATCCCTGTGAATAATCCGCAATCTAGAATATTGATGAAGATACAGTAGCCCCTGAGCAATGCCTTCAGTGATCCGAGCCCGAGTCTCCCAAGTTAGTATCCTACGTTTGCTAGAATCTGTAGCACATCAGGAAGATGCTAGTTAATGTTCCACTGATCTTAGAAAAGGATTGAAAACAGATTCAAACATCTGAGAAAAGTACAAACCAAAAAGGAAAAAATCCAGGCTTTTATTAGGCATGTATTCATAAATTAGTATCTTCTCATCTTTCTCGACGCAGCAGCCTAGAAGTCTGACAAGATTCTTGTGTTGGAGCTGGGCTATGACTACTGCTTCATTTTTCAACTCCTCCCACCCTTGTCCAGATCTTCTTGATAGCCTTTTAACAGCTATCTCATCACCTTTCAGTAATACACCCTGAAACGATGAGCCCTACATTGGTTTTAATTTCATCCTAACAAAGTTATCTGAATCCTGAAATAGTAAGGAAAAAAGTTCATACCCTGTAGACAGGTCCAAAGCCACCCTCTCCAAGCTTATTTGTGACTGAAAAATTGTCTGTTGCAGCAGAAACGCTTGCAAAACTGAATAATTGGAGTTTCGATTTGTTTTTCCTGTGTGTTCCAGGCTTATTGGCCTCCTTCAAGTCTGTGTCATCAGCTGCTAGGCTCATAGCCAAATCAAATTTTAACAAATCCTCCCCTGAATGATGCAGAGAAAATGAACTTACTGTGTTATATATGGACGACACCACTCATGGCCTTGGTAGAATATAAAGGGGATAAAAGTTTTACCTCTAGATTGGTGCTGTTTTTTGACAAAATAAATGCCAATGCCCAAAACAAGCATTGAAAGAGATAAGGTGAGTATGACAATTGTCAAAAGCTGCCTGTTGTCTCTTTGTACCTTTTGATCTCTTGTAGTTCCATCTGTTGGGCTTGTGCCTATGAAACAAAATCAAATATGAAGTTAATGTATTGTTGCACTTGCATTTCATCCTAAAGTAGAGAAAAGAACAAGCTGTAACTTTTTCCTACCATTTGTAATTAGCTCAGAAGCTGCAAGCTTGAGATAAAAACTTTTTCCATCAATATCATTTTCTGGAAGTTGCTTCAGATCGAACAAATCTGAATACCAGATTAAACACCCAAGCTTTATATCATAAGCATAAGCAATGCAAGAACAGTTCTTCAAGCACTCTGACTTGCAATCAGCTGCATTCCTAATTAGATTTAACAAATACTCATCACTTGGATAATC